GATGTTTAACTCATTACTTTTCAATTAAATCACATGCTTTTATGAGAGCCCTATTTTTCAAAATTATTCCCCCCCCACATCACATATTATAGCTCAATATTTCATTGAAATGTTCCTCCTTCTTCTACTTCAAATCTCATTTCACAAAGGGTTTACTAATATACCATCTTCTAATTATTAATATTAACAATCATTTATATCTTAAACATTTTATCCATTTCAATTGAATATCATGCCTTTGTGGGAACACTTATACTTTCCACGATTATTACCCCCCCACCCCCACATCACAATCTTGAATCATATTTCATTACAGTACTCCCTTTTTCTTAACAAAAATTTCACTTGTTTATGTTAAATATTTTATCACATTTTAAACTACATATTATTTCTAATTTTCTATAATTACTTCTAAATACAGATATAAAAATGCAATCTTATGTAATGAAAGGTCTTCTTTTTAATTTTTATTAATAGCATTAAATATAAGGACAGAGTCAAGAAGGCTAAGGATCAGAATGAACTAAGACTTGCAACAAAAATATTTTAAAATGTTTCTTTCAATATGTAAGAAGAAATCCCAATAAAAGATTGGTTCACTAATGGGAGAAGATGGTAAGAAAATGACAGGGAGAAAGCAGAATTGATTCATTCCTCTTTTGCATCTGTCTTTACTCCAAAAGGAAAAAAAAATAGTCCAACTATCAAAAACAGCACCATGGGAGAAGGAATAGGAATGCAAGTCAAAATGGACAAGGAATTGATAAGAGAACATCTATCTGCTTTGGGCAAGTTCATATCACTGGGACCAGAATGTTTACATCCCAGGCTGCTGAAGGAGAAGACCACTCCTTCAACACCCTGGGATGTAATGAAATTAATAAAAGCTTTCATAACTCCTGGAGCACAGAGGACTGGAAAAAAAAACTGATGTGGTTCCAATCTTTAAAAAGGATAAGAAAAATGGAACAAGGAAACCACAGATCAATTCGCTTGACATCAATACCTGGAAAAATTGTAGAAAAGATCAAGGAGTGGGTTTTTAAGCACTTAGAAATGAACAAGGGTAACTCCAGGGGTAGGACTCTACTGGTTTGGACCAGTTGTATAGAACCGGTTGTTATGATTCTGTGCACTTTGGAAGATGGAATCAAAATTCAGAAAGTTCTTCACAGACTTGAGCATTGGGCCCTATCCAACAAGATAAAGTTCAGTGATGAGAAAAGTAAGTTCCTGCAGTTAGGCAGGAGAAATACACAGGTACAGGATAAGCAGTACCTAGTTTAACAGTAGTGCCTGTGAGAAGGATCTAGGTGTTCTGGTGGACCATGGCTTAAGTTTGAGGCAGCAGTATGTTGCAGCTTCCAAAAAAGCCAATGCAGTCCTAGGGCTGCATCAACAAAGGATAACATCAAGATCACAAGAAGTGATAGTATTGCTTTATACTGTTCTAGTAAGGCCACTGTGTCCTGTTCTGTTCAACGCAATACAAAAAAGATGCTGAGACTCTAGAAAGGGTGGAGAACACCAACAAAAATGATCAGGTGTCTGGAGGCTAAATGACGAATGGCTAAGAAACTAAGTGTGTTTAGCCTAATATAGAGAAGGCTTAGGGGAGACATGATAGCAGCCTTCCAAAAAGTGAAGGGAAGAGGGTGCTGATTTATTCTCCATAGCCCTGGAAAGCAGGATTTGTCAGAGGAAAGTCCAGACTGGAAAGAAAGATGGATTTCCTGGCAGTGAGAATGCTGGAGGTTTTCAATAAAAAGATTGAACAACCATTCCTTCAGGATGATTTACGAACTCCTCCCTTGGTCAGGGGTTGGACTAGAAAGCTCTCCAAGGTCCTTTCAGGCCCTGTGATTAGCTATTGTTTTAATTTCTCCTTCTCCTGGATAATTTCTCCTTCTCCCAGTGTTAATAGTAGACAAATGAATGGCTTGAGAGCATCTAATCATGTCTTTCTGTGATCCAATTTGAACATTGAAAATGGGTCAGAGAGGGCTAATCTTTCTTACATCCCTGATAGGTAAGGATGCTTGTTGCATCTTTACTAGCTGCTTTGGACCTGAGATTTCCAGGAATGCTACCACATACTCAGGACTTTTCTAGTACTACTAGTACAACATGTCATCTTTATCTGGTGAGGAGATGTTAAATCCTTTGATTCCTGACTCTCAAGAGAGTTGGGCTATTTCCTTTTCTTTCTTTCTTTCTTTCTTTCTTTCTTTCTTTCTTTCTTTCTTT